GATTATGCAAAGACAAAGTTTTCTAAGTGACACAGCTGACTCAGTAGACTCAGGTGAGTATGAACTGCCCTGTTCCCTCCCTGCTGACCTGGGGTCAGTCGCTACCTGGTAAGCAGTCCTGGCCTCTGGGGAGGGTCATCCCTGAGCACTTACCAGGTGCCTGTTCTGCACTGACCTGGTAGACTCTGTGGGGTGGGTGCTGTCCCCAAATGTACCCATATCACAGGTGAGTGAGATGCCTAGGGTCAGAGAGGCACTGACTGGCCAAGGGACCCAGTTGTGACTCTCAGCCCTACCCTGTGCAAGCCCTGACCTCTGTGACCTCCCTACCCTAGTTTCCAAATCTGTCTGGGGTTCCGGCCCCCGCTGGGGCAGAGTCTGGCCCTGGAAGAGCCACTGGGACGGAGCTCCTATGTGTGGGGTGGAGGGGGTGGTGCTCGGTCCAAGTCTGTGCCCTAAGCTGGGTCCCCGCATGAGGAGGTCTCACCAAGTCGTGTGCAGTCACTGATGGTCATTGTGGGACCCAGTGGACACATGGGGTCCCTTGTCTGGGTGCAGGGTTGGGAGCCCTCTGCCTGTGGGCAATTGAGGTAGGGGACCTTGAGCACTGCTGCTCTGGGTCTGGGCAGTGGGGACCTGGTCAGGAAGGCCTGGTCACTGGGCAAACGGTCAGTGAAAGCCAGGCCAGCAGGGGTCTGGTTAGTGGGGGCCTGACCAGATAGTTACTGGTTGAACTCAAGCACAGGGTTTGTCCTTAGAACGTCCCTGCCTCCATCCATAGCAGAAATGAGTCATGGCAGCCTGGAAGGCTACCGGGAAGAGGAGGTGAGAAGGTGTGTGGGATCCAACTCTGCCACTCACACCTAGCATGTTACAGTCTAGCTGAGTTCCCCTAATGAGGGGGCCTACCCTGTGCCCTCTACTCCCTGACCCCCATTTGCATCTTCAGGACTGCCCTGGGTGGGGAAGTCTGAGGTTGGGGAAGACCATGGATGCTCTGATGCTGGCCACAGCCCCCAAGGGAATGTGACACTGATGAGGAATTGATGAGAACTTGGGTGCACATGTAAATGGGACCGCTAGGCATGGCCAGAGAAGCTACTCATGCACACGCACGTTCACCCACATAAACTGCATGCTCATCTGCACAAACACATCACACAAACACATTTTGGCACCTTGGCGCCTGAAGGCCACTGACTCTGGGCCCTCTTGGCCTGGGCAATGGAACCATCGTGATGAGCGTCATGACCCCACATCACTGGTACTGAGTGACCACCCACCTGCCCACCCGCCCACCCGTGTGTTGTGTGGCACTTGGACACAAGACACACACAGGTGTCTGGTTCTGTTCATAAACGACTTTTCTAAGTGAGAGAGACAACTGCCTCAGTAGAGTCAGGTGAGTGACCTCTGGGCAGATGCCAAGGAGAGCCATCCCTCAGCACTCACCGGGTGCACATTCTGCACTGACTGGGTGGACTATCCTCTCCTTTGTCCTCATAGTGACTCTGTGGTGTGGGTGCTGTCCCCAGACGTACCCATTCCACAGGTGAGATGTGAGAGTCAGAGAGGTGGTGACTGGCCCAGAGACCCAGATGTGACCTGGGTCGTGCTCTCAGCCCTACCCTTTGCCATGCTGGACTTGAGCTCTGACCTCTGTGGCCCCCCTGCCCTAGATTCCAAATCTTGCTGGAGTTCTGGACTCCAGTGAGGCAGAGTCTGGCCCTCGAAGAGCCACTGCGACAGAGCCGTGTGGGTGGGGTGGAGGGTGCGATTCTTGCTCCAAGACTGTGCCCTAAGCTGGGTCCCCACAGGAGGAGGTCTCACCAACTCAGACTTCAGGTGCGGTCACTGATGGTTGCTGTGGGACCCACTGGACACATGGAGTCCTTCATCTAGGAGTGGAGTGAGGAGTCCTCTCCCCTCAGGCAGTTGTGGAAAATGAAGGAGTCCTGGAGGGCTGCCTGGAGGGTGACAATCATACCTTCTGGTCAAAGGGGCTTGGGGACTGGAACCCTCCCACCGTGTCCCATTCTCTCTGTCTGTCCCTCTTGTAATGACAGCAGGGAATTGTGGAGTCTGCCGTCCCTCCACCTGAGATGGGATCTTCACGAACACAGAGGCTGCTCCAGAGTCAATAGATCATCTTTTCCCCAGACCAAACTCCTTGGCCGGTGGTGTTCCTGAAGCAGCTTCACTGGCCAGAGTGAGTGAGAATTGGAGTAGAATGGAGCAGTGACCAGATGTCTTGCTTCCTACAGAAAACTGAGTGTATTCCTGGTCCCTGAACAATCCCGGGAGGATCCCCGACCCGACCTGTCTCCAGGTGCCCAGAACAGCCCATCATGGGCTTTATCTCCTCTGTAAGTAGACGATGTTTGCCCTGCCGGGGCCGGTGCATATCTGCCTTGGGGTGCTTGGGGACAATGGGCCTCTCTGTTCAGGTCCCCCATGTGCTCAAGTCCTCAGGAAGGCACCCACCACTAATTGGAGGCAAGAACTCCAGAGATCCAGTGGGGTAGGGCCACTCAGTCTGGCCCCTGTCATCTGGGAGGGGTAGTGGAATGGGGCTTACCACACTGGAGTGCATCTGGGAGTGCAGTGGGAGCGGTTCGGGTGTTCTCTGGAGCTCTCGGCTGCAGCAGAACCTTGGATGACTTTGTCTTGCAGGATAGAGGTGGACGAGGCCCTGGATACGCTCCCCGGCCAGGGGCAAGGCAACATCATCTGCCAGGTACAGGTTGGGCCACTCCCTCGAGGGAGGCAGGGGCTCATCTCTCCTTCTGGGCCCTGTTCAGAGGGTCCAGGGCTCCCTAAGATCACAGGGCGGGGAGGGACTGCTCACATCCCTGGGCTGAAAAACCCTCACCTTGCCCGCCTACCCTGGCCACCTCTGGATTTCAGGAACACCAAGCTGGTGCAGCAGTGGACATGGGGCATGGGCCTGCTGATAGTGAAAAAGACACCAAGTACCTTGGGATTATGCAGTGAGTCCTTTGTCCACCTCACCCCACCCCTTGCCACCGACCCCAACCACCAGTGTCACCTCAGCGATGGGTTTTGTTTTTAGAAAGGCCCCTCTGAAGTAGGACATATGTCCCCGGCTCGGGCCAACCTCTTCCCCAGACTCAGGACTCCTCCCAGGCTCTCCTGCAGGTCCAGCCCGTGGTCAGGGTTGGGCACAGCCTCATGGCACATCTAGGGAGTTCAGGACAGTGGGTGGGGACAGAGAGGGGACTAGGACAGGTCCTTGGGCTCTCAGCACTGTGGTCTCCAAGCAAGCAGGAGAGGACGGGGCAGCCTGAGGGTCCGGCCCTGACCCCATGGGGCTTGCCCTGGTGAGATCTGAGGGTTGTGGCCACAGGGCTAGGGGCACCTGGCCTGTCCTCTGGGCAGTTGTATAGCAGATCTCTGAGAGCTCAGGGGGCTCAGCCAGTGGACAGGGCATGGGGACAGTGAGGGCCTTGGCCCTGGCCGTGGAAGATTGTGAAGAAGAAGAGCAGGGCCCTGGACTGGGTTTCTCACTGAGGCCAGGGGGACAACAGAGCATGCAGCTGAAGGCCCCGGAGTGGTGCTGGGAAAGGCTCTGAGCCTGGGAAGGGGAGCCCAGCCTGGAGCCGGCCCCTCAGGACTCACAGGATCGAGAGAGGAGGAGCCTGGGGGAGGGGGGCGGGGTGAGCCCATGAGACCTGCCACTTCTGGGAAGCAGCTGAACCAAGCTGGCCCCAGTGTGGAGCTGACAGTCTGGGGAGGACAACAGATGGGGTGGGCAGGGAACAATGGCTCACCTGGGACCCCTCAGATGGGGGACTCAGTCAGTCCCCAAGGCTCTGCGTGGCCCTCCAGGGACCCTGCTTCCCGCTGGCTCAGATAGCACTGCAGAGGGTGGATGGGGCACAGAGTCGGGGCAGGCAGGACAATAGGGAAAGACAGCCAGGCACCCCATGTCCTGGTTTCGCGGTGGCTGGGAGGAGGCTGAGGGCTGAACATCAGTGACCCTGAGAGCCAGCTGAGGCTGGAGGCGGGGTGGTGGGGCATCCCCACTACCTGCAGGGCCCTTGCTCACCCTTGTTGCCCTGGATTTCTCTGCGGCAGTGCTGGGCAGCCCAGTGAGAGAGAGGCCGAGGCATGGGTGTGGACAGATCAGGGAGGTCTCACTCAGACGTTCTGATAGGACAAGGGTCACAGAAAGGCCAGGGTGGCTTGCGTGAAAGTCATAGTCTCTGGGCCAGGCAGGACGGGGGAAGACGGCGAACAGGCAGGGTCAGCTGCCAGGGTGCAGGCAGAGGCAGGTGCATGCTGGGAGGTCAGACCCTGCAAGGCCCGTGGGGAGTGTCGGGTGGGACGGGCTCCAGGTGCGTCCTCAGGGCACTGGGCAGCTCTCAGGCCAGGCTCCCGGGACTCTGATGGGTGATGTGGTCACTCCTGAGGCACTGCTGTCCGTCAGGGCTCAGGTACCCACCCTGGGTGGCAGCCATCCCGTCTCAGGACTGGACTTGCTCAGCTCCCACAGAGGGTGTGGCCTCCAGCCCAGGAGGGGCAGCCCCATTGTGCAGCCAGAGGCACCCTACGGGCCCCAAGTGGCCCCTGCCAGGCCAGCATCAAGCTCCCTCTTCTCTAGGTTCCTGGTGCCTCTCTGGCGTCAGCTCCGCAGGGAGGCTCTTGCCTTCCTTCCCTGTGCCTTCTTCTGGGCTGAGACTTAGGGTAGATAGGGATGGGATGGTCCTTCCCTGGGGTCTTCTCTGGGAGGGGGATGGCTCCTGGCCTGGGCAGGTCCTTAGCTCTGCCTGGGTTGTCTTACAGTGAGACGGAGCTGCTCCCTGTCCGTATTCCGGAGGTGAAGGTAAGAGCCTGGGCCTGCTGTGTGGGACGCCGGTCCCGGGACAGGGAATCGGGTGGTGGGTGAGGCAGCGGGGGGGGCCCACAGGCCCAGGCGGTGGTGAGTGGGCCACGGCTATCAATGGGAGGGGCAGCCATTCCTGCTGAACTCTGTTCCCATGAGAGTTTCACCAAAATGCAAACTGCCGTCCTGGCTCAGAGCCGACTGCCTGTTTGCACCAAGTCGCGAGCGGAAGCCTGCGACTGACCAAAATTCAGGGCGTCTGTGGCCTGAACATGGTGTGTCCTGGCATCACCAGTCCAGACTTCTAGCTGCAGTTAGTTCAGAGGGTCTCAGCCCCTGGGGTCTGCCCTTTCCTGGCTACTTCCCATTGGGTCCCTTCAGGGCCCCAAAGCCCAGGACCCAGCATCCACAGGCCGCTACCAGACGCCTGACAGCTCCGCTAACTCCATCACGGCTCATTTCACAGCAAAGATGTCAGGATGCCATACACATCCAGAAGTGGGTCAAGATGCTTAAAGACTGGCCGAAATATAAAAACACCAAGAAAGTACCATGGGAGGGTTGGCCCCCGTGACTGCTCTCTGCAGAGCCAGGAGACAGGTGCCCATGGCTGTGACCTGGCACCACCTGCCTCTCAGTGCGTGGGTGGCACCCATCCTCACTATAGGATAGCAGGCCTGCTCGCCAGCTTTCCTCACTGGGGCCGCCCTGTGTCCTGTCTCACTGGAGTGTTCTTCTGTCTGTAGCTCTCCCACAGAGTGTACAAAGGAATTCCCAAAACAGTACGAGGTCAGGCATGGTCACTCCTGCTTGACATTGGCCAAATCAAGACTGAAAACCCCGGGAAATATAGGGTAAGGCCCTCCCAGACTCAGCCAGAGCAGGACAAACAGGCCAGGCCATGGCAGGCACCCGGGACCCCAGCTGGAGGGAACGTGGAGCCCGGGTTGGGAGTGGGGGTTCTGGTCAGATGAAGGCATCCAGGCATCCAGGCACAGACGGTGACTCAGGCACCACAGGTGTGCTGGGCTCTGCTGCCCCTCCCTGGCTTCAGAAACAAGGCACGAAGGAGCTTTCTGCAGAAGGAAACCTTCCTCCTTTCCTTGCAGAAGTGTTGACTGTGGGATGGCTGCTGTTTGGGGCAGGGAGTCTTTTGTCTGTTCTGAGGCTGCTTCCTCCTCTTGGTCCTTCCCTACAGGTCATGAAGGAGAAGGGCAAGAGTTCCTCCAGGATCATCAGCCGCATCAAGCTAGATGTCAAGCACACCCTCCAGAACCACGAGATGTTCATAGAAGGACTCGGGGTCAAGTAAGGCCTGTGGGGGCTGCAGGGGTGCCAGGGAAGATGGAGCAATCCAGAGGAATGAGGGCTTCCCCAGGGCAGAGGCCAGGGTCACCCAGGAGGGGTGACAGAGCCACCAAGGGCTCTCCTGCCCCAGGGAGCAGCCAGCACCATGGACTGAGCACCCGGCACCATGGACTGAGCATCTCCAGGGCTCTAAGCCCTGGTCCAGGCTGGGATGTGTGGGGCTAGAACCCAGGTGGTTCCCAAGGAGATGAAAGGCAGCAAGAAAAAAAAGAAATATATATATCTTTTTGCATATATATATATATATGCAGAACGGTGAAAAGTACTCTCCATGACCCACAAGTACCCAGGGTAGGGACCCATGGGAAGGTGGCAGGATGCCAGGGCTCAGGAGCCTTCCTGGGCAACACTAACAGCCCAAAGAACCAGGGAGGATGCTGGGCCCCAGAAACTCTCATCCATGGCTGGTGGGAACGCAACAGGGCACAGCCACTTTAGAAGTCAGATAGGCCACGGCTTACAAAGCTCTGTAGCCTCGTACCACACAACCCCAAAGTGTCACAGATATTGACCACACTGATTTGAAACTGACCTTCAAGTAAAACGCGCATGCCACATTCACTGCTTGATTGATTGTCACTCACACCTGGAGGCTACCGAGATGATCTTCAACACGGGAACAGGGAGGAAGGAGTTTCCACTCTTCAGACAGAGACGACTCAGTGAGGAAAAGGAACGAACCCCTGATGCCCACAGGAACATGGGTGGATTGTAGATGCATCTTGCTGAGGGAATGAAGCCACACCCAGCAGGCTACCACTGTAGAATTCCAATTCACAGACCATTCAGGAATAGGGCAAACCACAGAGACAGAGAACAGGTCAGGATGGCCAGGGGCTGACGGAGCCGGGAGAGGTCGGCTGCAAAGGGGACACGCTGGGGACTTGGAGGATGAAGGAGTTGCTCAGGGAGGGGCTGCAGTGGTGGACGGGAGGCCCTGCACATTAGTTCAGAGCCGTGGAACTGCACGTCACAAAGACTGGACTTTTGCTTTGTGTGCAAACCGAGAAAGGGGGGAAGAAAAAAATCAACCAGAGTGAAAATGATCACTGATCCAACTGTACAACTGTGATATTTGCATTGCAAGGAATGTGGATTTTACTGAAACAATTCCTAAAAATTCAGGTGTCCTGAAGAGCTCACTTATTTGGTGGATCATCTGAACCCAGAATTTTGTTTGTGGTCTGGGTTTGTAGACAAAATGAAACTGACAGCATCCGCACAAAACAAATAAAACTCTCTTTTCTAGGCAGCAGAAATTATGTGATATTCTTGTGGCCCACTCTGCATATAACCCTGTGAGTATTCCCGGGCAGCGATATTCCTGGGCCATATTCCCATATTCACAGGCATGGGTTTCTCTCAGGGGTGTCGGCGCTTCTTGAAAATTCAGTGTTCGTGACCCACCAGAACGCAGTAGGCAGGACTCAAGCTCACTGCTGGCAGAAAAGGGTTGAGGCCCAGACTCCTTGTGTCACGTGAACCCAACCACCACGTCTCAGATGAAGAAATGACCTTCCCCTCCTGGTGTTGCCCCAAAGCTTGGGAGCTTGGCAGGGTCCCACGCAGGATGGCCCTCACAGGAGACAGGTCTGACACGTTGCTGAGGTGCCTAATGGGCCAGGCTCTTATGGAATGAGTCTGCATCCTGAGGAAGCCTCTTCTTCACTGAAAACCTGGAAAGGATACAATTTCCCCTTTGCTCAAACCCCATAGGAGCACAGCAGATAGGGGAGGGGATCACCCAGGTGGCTGCTCCTGCTTGGCCCCCACTTTCCAGACCATTCCAGGCAGGGAGAGCCGCTGAGCCAACTCCATGGGCTGCCCACACGGGGTCTGGACCCATCCACCCTCCTGTGCCCGGCAGGCAGCCCCTGAGCTGTTGTTTCGGGACCTCTGTGTGGTGGTCAGCACCCCACCACCTGCCCTCATGGCGGGTGCAGTTCATAGGTGCTGCCCCAGGCCTGGCACAGTGGCCTCTCCAGCCTGGCCCAGGTGAGGGGCATGAACAATCCCTGCCTGTGCCCTTTTGGGCCATGTGAGCTTGAATGCTCACGGCAGGGGTCCCCCCAGGCTCCTTGTCCACTGAGTTGTGTTTGACTGGCTCTGTCCTCATAGGCCAGGGGAGGGGTGCAGAGGCTGCACCTCAAATCCCCTGGGGCCTGAGGCAGGTGTCCCTGAGGACCTCTGCCATCTCTGGTGACGCGAGCCCTCCCAGGTGACATCCTTCTACGGTGACTCTGGCTTTTGCAGGAGATGTGCTACCACAGGGACCTGAGCTGCATCACCACAATCTTCCTCCTGTATCTGCCAGAGGAAGATGCCTTCTGGGCGCTGACCCAGCTGCTGGCCAGTGAGAGGCACTTCCTGCAAGGTAGGTGGACATCTGTCCCCAGTGCCTTACACAGCCATGCCAGGGGACGGCCACCCTGGCCGGTGATCCCGACTTCCAGGCAAGGTGCCTTCCTTGTATCTCAGCTCATTTGGAGACTCCAGGACATCCCTGCTGAGGTCCCAAGGGGCCTGGGTCTGGGCAGGGACCCCCTCATGTCAGGTCAGACGCCTTTCATCCCCAACAGCAGAGGACATTGATACCTCCCCCTGGTCACCCTGTGTCACTGAAGCCAGCCCTGACTTTGTGCCGGTGCCGCTCACCTCCCTGAGTGTCCTCCTGCCTCCCAGCTGGCTGTGCTCCCAGCCACCTTCCCTCCCCACGGATGGGCCAACAAGGCCAAGATGGCAGTGTCTGCCCATCCCGTGTCCCCCAACCTGACCTCACATCCAAAAGATAGCCTCACATAAGCCCCGAGCTCCCACCCTGTTCTCCCTGCTGGCACCTGCCTCATGGTGTCAAACGCAGGCCTGCCCTCCTGGCACCTGGATCCAGGATGCCACTGGGCAGCGCCTCCAACTAGGCCACACCTACCGAGGTCTGAGGCCGTATGAGGGGTCACCATGATGGGAGGCAGGGAGGCCTCAGGGTCCAGGGTCCCCCTCCCTGCCCAGCTCTTCCAGCTGATGCCTCCATATCTTGGGAGTGGGCTCTGATGGGGTGATGGGTCGGGGGCTTCTCAGCATTCTACAGTCCAAATACAGCCCCGCTGCAGAAGCTTCTGTCGCACCAGGAGCAGGTGTTGCGCAAGTCCTTCCCCAAGATCATGAGACACCTGGTGAGTGGATGATGCCCTCGGCTCCTCCCCAGAAGCCCTGAGTCCCATGGGCCGGGGAGGCCGGAGCTCCTCATGGGGCTGGCAAGAGGCCAAGTCCCAGCCATGGCCTGACCTGGGATGGGCATTCTCTATGGGTTCAGAGTTGGGTTTCCTTTTTCTGCCCTGGTGGAGGCAGAGGCGCTGGGACCAGGGCCAAGCCACAGCTGAGCAGGGCTGAGGGAAGTGTGTCCACTGGGCGTCCATACATGGGGCAGGTGTTGGAGCCCTGGCCACCACCCCGGGTTCTGTCCCGTGGGGAACGGTCTGCAGAGGGGCCTGGAAGTGGGAGGATTTCAGGGAAACCCAGGGGGCCCTGAGCACCTCTGCTCCTTTCTTCAGGGCAAGGAAGGGCTGTGCATTGAGGGTTCCATGCTGACGAGGCTCCTCCGGTGTTTCATTGACGGGGTAAGGAGGCACAGGGAGACCCCAGCCCAGGGACCCTCCTGCCCAGTAATGTCCAGCTTCCCCAGGAGGACCTGGCTCACCCCCAGCCCACAGAAGGCACAGGCAGGTCCCTGCAGGGCACACAAGCCAGGCCCTGCCTGAGAGGGGGCATCTGACAGCAGAGGCCAGGGCTCAGGCCCAGCCTCATAGGCAGACTGGGTCAGGACCCAGCTTGGGAAGGAAGCCCCAAGTCCTCAGGAATCCCCTCCTTCCAGAAGCCACAGCACTGATGAGTCCCCCGTGAGGAGCTGCAGGACTTTGTCTGACCCAATGTCATGGGGGGTCTCATCCCATGGACAGGGGTCCCCACCACTCCAGGGGACTGAAACCCCAATGGGCCCTGCTCAGGCCACCGAGTCCAGCCTGGAAAGCCCAAGTCCTCCCACACCTGCTCTCCCTACAGAAATCCTTCGGGCTCACCCTGCGACTGTGGGATGTGCTCATCTTGGAGGGCCAGCGGGTATTGACGGCCATGGCGCATGCATCATTCAAAATACACAGGAGTGAGTCACGTGTGCCCAAGGGTGCCTGGGGGAACACGCGGACAGACCCCGGCTGGCCTGAGGAAGCTGTCCTTACACTGCCTGCTCCATCCGGGGGGGGGGGCCTGGTGGGCTAGGCAAGGCATGCTGACACTGTGCCCCAACGTGACCCAGACAAAAGTCAGGAGTGTGATAAGCACTTCCCTGCACGGCCTTCCCCAGCTGTGGCCTCCTGTGCACAGCTCAACCCGGGTGGCCAAAAAGGACCCGGCACTACCCAGTGGGAGGTGGGCCTGGTGGAAACAGGGTGTGGGCACTGACCCTTCCCAGGGAACCCTCCTGGCCTGATGCTCGCCCTGTCCCTAGAGCGCCTCATGAAGCTTTCCTGGAACACCATCCGGGAGTTTCAGGAGTGGCTATCTCAGAGCTGGGCCCTGGAGGACAATGCTGTCCTCAGGAACCTTCGAGCCTCCATGAAGGAACTCACAAGGACACACTGGGACCTGCCACCCCCAGGTGGGCTCCAGCATCAGATGCCCTCTTGAGTCACCCTCTGGGCAGTCAATGGTGGGGAGGGCCCTGGCCCCACCAGTCCTGCTACCTGGCCTTCCTCCTGCACCTCAGATGGGTCTGCTGGTCCTCGGGGCAGAAGTTGAGCGCACGTGTGCTGGACATGCTGTGCGGGCAGGCAGGGGCTGTGGGCAGGGCCCCTCAACACCCCTCCCACACTTTCCACGTTGCTCCCCTCTCCCCCTCAAAGGGCCCTGAGAGATACTGGGGAAGTCAGACCCAGCGGTGGAAGCCCCCACCCCTACCTCCACGCAGCAGGGACCCCCCATTCTTGAGTGCTCCTCCCAGGATGTCAAGATAACGAGACAGGGGGACAAGAGAATCAGTGTCCCTGACCCAGAGAGGATTTAGGGAGAGGGCATTGTGGGGAAGCCCTGACCCAGAGCCAGAACCAAGAGTTCAGCCAGGTGTGGGATCGGTCCAGCCCCAGTATGGCGTGGAGGGCCCGGAGGGCAGAGGGGAACCCGTGCCTGGGGCCTTCTCATGCTCTGTGCAGACAGGCCCCCATGTGAGGTGGCAAGAAGGCTGGGTGACAGTGCAGGTCCCTTCCACCTATGTTCTAAATCGCGGGTGCTGAGCAGCCCTGAGGTCAGGGTGTGAGGCAGGAAGCCCTGAACCACCCAGAACACTGGGGGCCATTCCAGGAGCGACCTGAGGTTCCTAGAAAGGTCCCCCACCACAGACTGCACACAGCCCTCGCCCTGAAATCAGCTGCCTGCAGGGGCGTCCGCAGTGTCCGACCAGGAGGCCACACATGGACACTGAGGATTCCAGAGACCCAGGCTTGTGAGGTGTAGCCTTGAAGAGAACAGATGGGCTCGGTGAAGATGCCGACCACGTCTGTTTTTTTTTCAGCCAAGCTCAAGGAAGGGTCCTCGGGGGTGTCCCCTGGCATTGGGCCCTGCTGTGAGGAGGACAGACAGACCCTCCCCACCTCACCAGCTCAGCTCCAGGAACTCATGCCATCAGACCCCCTGCAACAAAGGCCTTGTCCTACCCCAGCCTGGCCTGACAGGGCTGTCCCTAAGGCCCAGATTGAGGCCCATCAGCATGAGGGGGCTCCTCAAGAACACAGAGCCAGATCAGAGACTCTAGATAAAGGCGATCTGTCCCACGGCGAGGTCAGGCTTTGCATTTCAGACAAATACTCATGCAGCAGCTCATCTAGGAAATCTGTGCCACCACTCCATGCAGACGCGACCGTCAGGGACCCCCGTATTTTGTGCTGCCATTTCAAACACAGTTCTCGGGACTCCGTGAGGAATTCTCCAGGACCCAGGGCTACACGTCGCCCTCTGGAGGTCACAGAGGATCAAGATGAGGGCCACCTGTCCCCCGGCAAGGTGAGACTTAACATTCCATGGAAACGCACATCCAGGAGCTCTGTGCCATCGCTCCAGAGAGATGTGACTGTTGCAAACCCGCATTTCCTCCGGGGGCATTTCAAACACGGCTCAAGGGACTCTGCATCGGATTTTCCAGGAGCAAAGGCCACACGCTGCCCTGTGGGGGGCCCAGAGGCTGGAGATGAGGGCCGACTGTCCCCTGGAGAGGTCAGGCTTTGGGTTCCCAACAAATACTCATCCAAGGCC